AGCAGAGATTCAGGCTGTATAAGCCAACAACGTGTATTCAGGAGCAAAGGATTTCAGAAAGAAACAGAAAGGAAACAACCTAAGACGGAGACGACACTTCCTGAACGAACCTGAAGGAGACAGTCTCACTAGTTATGAAGACCATGTGGGATAGGTTGAAGCCTCCTACTCCCAGGGCATGGTCCATACAATCCCCTGCCTCAAAAAAAGGCATTTGTGGGGCTGAGGAGGGAGGAGCATGTTACCTGTCCATCCTCCTACACCATGAAGTGAACTGTAGTGTAATTACCCTGAATATTAAAGGTCTCAACATTTTAGCATGAAACAACAACTTTTGTTGGAAGTGCTGATAATATGCTTTGGAATTAGGCAGAGTTGAGTACAAATAACTTGCTCTTCCCCTTCTTAGTGGGGCTATTTAGGGCATCCTGTATACCTCACTTTCCCCCTCATCATCACCATTGTTCTCTATCCTTTGGGGGTGTTAAGAGGATTAAATGTGAAAATTCATGAATTAAATGGAGGCAAAGAAGCTAGGGCAGTACCCAGAACTGAATAAGAGAACTATAAATAATAGGTGATGCAGTAGTATCACTATATAGTTTATAGCACACATAATTTTAATTTTGGTGAGGGAAAAATTGGAAACTGTAACTGGGCTGTATTGCCCAATGTGGCTGAGTGTGGGGTGGGGACACAGGGTGGCATGCCAATGTGGAGTACTCCACTCTGTGCTGCAAAAGAACTGAGCACAACATAGCTAAAAATACTAAGTACAAAGAACACAATGAATCCCAAGCAAGTGTCCCTTTGTGATTTCCATAAACATTTCTGGGTGCTTATTCTAGAACAGTTGTGAGTGATGGTTGTTTTCTTGGCTGACAAATCCCGTAACATAACACACACATAATTATGCCTGCTGATTCCAGTCTTCTGCTTTGAGCCCCTTACTAATGTAGAAAATTAAGTGAATTCTGATCTTCACCAGAGACCAACAGAGGCGTTCAGAGAATTCTCAAGTCAGAAGCAGAAAGTGGACCACTCTACTCATATCTCAATTTTTTTTTTAAAGCTGCCTGGCTCTCCTTAGGTTAGCAACTGAGACTTCAATATTTTATTCAATGAATATTTATGTGACATATTTTTAGAACTGACAAATGTTCAGATAAATTAGTCATCTCTGATGAATCAGTTACTTACACATGGGGCTTTTGTTTCCTGAGAACATAACTTCTTTCCCCAATTCTGACCATCACCCAAAATCACTTCCTTCCACAATGACACTTCTCTGCACAGGTGAATTTGTTCAGAGAAGAGCTCTTTAGCCAACTCCTCAGATTAGAGAACTCAGAATATCAGAGCTGGAAGATTCCCAAGAAACCTCTCATCAATGAGATGAGGAAACTGCGGCTAGGGACAATAAGAGATTCGCCCAAGATCACACAGCAAATTGCCAGCAAGGCTAAAATTAACACCCTAGTTTTGAGACAGCTCATTTCATTTTCATTGAATACTTCATGAGGTTTCTCATCTTCACTGAGACAATTTCAAGGGGTGAGGTACAGGAACAAAATTTCCCCATATTTCTCACTAAGCAAAGAAAGTTAACAACACTATATATTAACACTTGAATAAAACCTGACGAAGCAAAAGAGAATCAAGTGGGAAAAAAACCACAAGGCAAGCAATAAGACTTGTTGAATACAGCAGACATGAAATACACAAGGCCAGTGTAGCTTTAACTAACTAGAGTCTCCAAGAACATCAATGTTAGGTCTGTATGGCCCTAGGGACCCACCAGAAACAGGAATGACATGGATAATGGTTGACCATGGATCCAAGCCGGAAACATACAGACTTTCTCAGTATGGGAGTCCTTCCTTCCTCTTTCTTACCTTCCTTCCTTTCTCTCCTTCCTTCCTTCCTTCCACCCCTCTTTCCTTGCTTGCTTCCTTGTTTTCTTCCTTCCTTCCTTCTTTCCTTCTTTCCTTCCCTCCCTCCTGGGCTTCCCTGAAAAAGCTAAGCACCAAAAACAATAATTCTGAAAGAGAGATAACATTCTCCACGCCAAACCACCACCAATTGTCTAAAAACATTTTTTAGAAGAAACCATGTTTATAAATCTGGAACTTCTTTGCAGTTCCTGGCTCTATAAAGAATCTTAGCATTAGAAATTGTGTTGGTTGGTGTCCTTTTTTTCTTGAAGGAATCTAGGGAAACAAATATATATCTAACTGAAAATTTGCATGCTGTTATTTGAAGTCTGTATCATATTCAGACTGGCCCAGACATAAAGAATTAAGATAGGGCCTAAACTCTACATACCCTTGCTTTATATTCAGTCACTATTCTCTTTTCTTTTTCTAAAGCAAATGACTTAAATTTCCCTTTATCTCTCCTTATAGGAATTGGCCTTGTTCTTTGAGTGCCATTCTTGATTCTTCAGTTCTTCAAGCTACCTGCAGGGTATTACTGTACTAATGATATACTTTATAGTCTGAGACAGTTCATGAATCTCTTTAGGATAATCTAATTTAAAAGTAGGGAATGACTTAAACCTGTGGGCCCAAAGCTACAGATCCACAGATTGCTGTCTTGCTTCAAATAAGGATTCTTTAGAATTCCTTTACTTAGTGATTCTGCTTCATCCCATCTGTACATCATTTCTGGGTTTCCTGTTACATAAAGATCAGATTCTGAATGTGATCTGGAATTCACTCATATTCTCTCTAGTCTTGTCTTCCTTTCCCTCTGCACAATTGTGTGTGTGTTAGTTTCTCTTCTTTTGTTATTAATTGGCTTTTCTGCAATTCTCTCACATTGGTCAGTTTTCCAAAATGCTCACAGTTTTCAAGTCAACAGTTATGCTTCTGGAAGGTTGAATTATTCACCCCCATTCTTCACCCTTCTCTGATCTGTGTTTTGTTCACTAAAAGCTGGCTGGCTGTTTCCTCCCCTTGACTATGGGCTTGGCCACTGACTTGCTTTAGCTAATGGCTTATGGGCAATTCTGAGCTCAGATTCTGTTCCTGCTCAGCCCTCTAGCTTCTCTGCTATTGCCATAAAAAGAAAAGAAGAGCAGTCTGTTAGCCTGTTAGTGCAGAGAAAATAAGAGCAGATGCAGCCAACCTACAGCTTCCAGCCACTTAGCTGAGCTCAGCCAAAGCCAGCAATGTCATGAGGCCAATCCCATAGACTGTCACACTGCAAGCTGACACATGAGCCCTACAACTGTTCCAATGGAACTCTATGAGAGACAGCCCAACCATGTCCCACCACAGGGAAGCTCCTTTCTTCCCTTGGGACTGGAGACTAAAGATGCTATATGTTGTACAAGTTGAGCATGCCTAGTCTGAAAATCTAAAATCAGAAATGCTCCAAAATCTGAGATTTTATGTGGTGCCTCTACAAGTGGGAAATTCCACATCTGCCCTCTGATGGTTCAATGTATACAAATTTTTTTCATGCACAAAATCATTAAAATATGGTATAAAATTACCATCAGACTATGTGTGTAGGAAACAAAAGTGTTTAGACTTAGGTCCCATATACAAGATAACTCATTGTATACAGGCAAATATCCAAAATCTAAATACTTGGTCTCAAGCATTTTGGACAAGGATTACTCAATCTGTAGTAGAGAAAATGCAAGATGAGGGAAAGCAGAAGAAAGTCCTTCCCGAGAAGGACCGAGGAGCAGCAAGTGCCCACAGCAGCCCTGCTCACAGAAGGCAGACCTGGGACTACAGCTCATCTCCAGCACACATCCAGTGCCCCTGTGGCCAGTGCCTGGCAAGGCCATGACAGATGCAGGAGAAACATCCCAAGTCTGAGCCTAACCACCCACCCCTTAATCTACTGTGGTTTCTTTCCTTCTGGCATAGGGACCTAGCTCTTAAATGGGCTCAAGGAGATTGCCTGCATGCACTTGTAAGCTCTTTATCCTCATGACCCAAAGATAAAAATATAGTTTTTGTGAGTATGATCACATCACCAGTCCTCAACCCTTACACTTCACTCCAGTGGTCAGTTTAGCCAACCTGGTTCTCCATTTAAGACTCTAGCCTCTAGATGTCATGGCTTAGCCTATAGGTGTGAATTACCACCTCCTGGACTATAATAACAACATATCTGTGCCTAAGCCAAGGTGAAACCACCAATTTGGTTGGAAGACCACAAGAAAAATAGAAAATGTCATATAATTAATTTTATCCTGTTTCTCAAATCTTTTTTGCCTTCCGTTTATAACAGATCCCTCTCTCTCTCTCTCTCTCTCTCTCTCTCTCTCTCACACACACACACACACATTGTTTTACCCTTTGTATCTTAAGAAAGAGTGTGTATGTGCACATATGTGTATATACACACATTTATGTATGAGTGTGTTTGTACATATACGTATACCCTCCCCACCACCACCAAAAAACCCAAGTTTAGCCAAGCTGTTCTAAAAGATCTTTAGAGGACATTAGGATTTAAGCAAAACAAAGCAGGGACACAGGGAAGCAAACCACCCTCTGAGCAGTGCAAGGAGACTAGACAAGTTAATTTGTAGAGCACAGGCCACAGCCTATAGAAGTGCCCTCACTCTCTCTTCCCTATGAAATCTTCATTAAAATTCCAAGACCCATGGCTACAGTTCTGCAATTTCCCACTGATCACATGTAGCAAATCTACAAACAGACCCACAGCAGTGTTGAGTAACAGCTAATAGTCTGACCCAAAGGAGGAAAAGACTGAAGCTGACATGAGAACTAAGAGGGGCACATCGGGATTGGCCGAGCTGCTCACAACCCCTCATTGGCCCGTGAAGACATCAGTGTGCCAATGTTAGTACTCTGAGTAATAACTCTGGGTCAGATGACATCATTGTCTGCTTAGGGTGGTAATTCTAATGCACTTGGAAAGGCAACAGCATGGAGAACGGCCCCCTAGAGGAGAACAGTGGTTACTGCATGGCAAAACTACAGCATGGGGTCTCAGGGCGGGGAATCACCTACCTCTGAATGTTATCTTCAAGTTGCTTGACTCTGAACTCATCCTCCTCAGACTGCCTCCGTCTGGCTTCCTCCTCCTCGGCAGTGCCTGCAGGCACTCCCTGCAGCAGCCATTTTTCCCGAAGCACTTTGGACTGTGGGAACGAGGGGAGACATCATCTCAGATGACACCTTTCAGTCCACACATGCTGTTTTAGATCTGCCCCTTATCACTGTTCTGAATTGCTGCCTTCACCTCCTTGTTGACTTGGCTCCCTACTTCCCTCTGGCCCAGTCCCCAGGCTGGGGTCTCTGGAAGGGTTTATTTCACATTTTCCTTTTTCTTTTTCTAATTAAAGATTTATTGAGCACATGTACCCCACACCATTCTGGCTGCCAAAACAAAGCAAGTTTTTTTTTAGTTCTTTCATTCCTTATGCAAGTTCTATTTTAGTCAGAAGACAATAAACATTTTATATACACATATGCAGAAGTATATAAACACATATACATATCCCAGATGACGCTGGGGAATGCAAAGAGCAGTGGGAGGGATAAAGGAAGGTGCTGCTATATTTATAGGGTGAGTCTGAAAGGCCTTATTGATAAGGTAACATTTGAACAGGGACTGTAGGAAGCAAGAAATAAGTCGTGTGGCTCTCTGGGAAAGTGTAACCCTGAGAAAGCTGTTGATTGCCATCTTTTCTATGATTAAAATTTTTTTTTTAAAAATAGAGTATACTGTATAGTAAGTAACCAGTAATTTCATCAGATTTAATAATTATAGGCATTCTTTGCCATGTTTTTACATGTATTTTTTTTTCACCAAAGCATTTCAAAGTAAATGCCAAACACCACGACAGGGAGTCTCTAAAACATAAGGACAATTTTCTATGGAACTATAGTTCCAGTGTAAAATTTCCAAAGATCATCTGATTTCCAGTTCATACTAAAATGTTCTTATAAAAAGAGTAATCTATATTGTGTGTTTCCTTAAAAACCTTTTTATGACTGTCAAATATCCTCAGTAGTGGTCTCCCAACACATTAGAATCATATACCCTGCCTGTCCCTGTGTTACTATGTTGTGGTGTGTAATAAAAAGATTTTGTTTTAAGTCACTGGGTGGGAGGGGGGAATTACTGCTCTGAGAAAGGACATGAAAAGAAAAGAGAAAGACATGTTTAAACTCCCTACCATGAAGAGCAGGAGGGTAGATGAAAGAGGATGTGAATGGATCATGAAGGCTCTGCCTTCCTCAATGGATTAATCCACTGACAGATTCAAAATTTCAGTAGACACTGGGAAGTAGTAAGACTGTGAAAGGGAGGGCCCAGTTGGAGATTGGAGCATGTCCTGGAAAGATGTGTCTTGTCCCTGCCTCTTCCTCTGGGTCTCTTCTCTCTGCTTACTGTCTACCTGTTCCACCTCTTCTACCACATGCTCCCAGCCACAATGTTCAGCAAACCATGGACCCAGAAGCAATGAAGCCAGCTGAACTTGGGCTCAGACTGTGAGCCAAAGTAAATCTTTCCTCATTTAAGCTGTTTCTCTAAGGTGTTTGCTTTTGTGATGAAGTCTGACTAACACAAACAATAAAGTTAAGAAAGCCCTTCAAGATCATGTCATCAAACCTTTCATGTCTATAGGTAAGTTAACTGATCTGATGCAACTTTTCAAGGTGATGGAGGTAAACTGTGAGAAGTGTCTAGGAGAGGTGGATGGGGCAGAGTGGAAAAGCATGAATCATACTAGTAATGAGTCTCCAACTTTTTCTGATTAGGCATTTGTTATTTTTATAAAGTTCTATTTAGCCATCTTTTTACTTTATAATTCCGGCCTTCATGTCAGACAGATAAGATGTCCTCACTCTCAGGCTATTAAAATACTCATCTGTGATTTATTCTTGTGCTTTTAGAATTTCTCTTTTTACCGCAAATCTTTCATTTACCTGTAATCTGGCTAAAGCCGACATTGGTTCTGTTAGTAGATGATGCCTGGAATCTGACCAGATTCAATTTTCTAGCAGAAAATAAGTTCAAATCAAGTTGAGGCAATAGCTGTGTTTGTATTTTCAGTGCTTCAGTCATGTCCCCTCCCTCTTCCTTTTCCCCCAGTCTTCTAGTAATTTCCTTCCTCCTCTTGACACCCAATAAGATCTTGGATTGGTTTTGAGATATGGTTACATGATTTGGTTCTCACAGGAAGATGCCTGTCCAAAACTTCTGACAGAAGAAGTGAGGTTTTGCCTTTCTACTTGAGCTCTGTTTCTATGGCCAGGGGAGACATAACAGGAAATAGGAAAAGATGTAACGCCCCTTTGTGTGGGGCGCTGTATTTATTTATTGAATATTTAAAAATTTAAAGGTGACCTTTCACACATACTAATAATGAAGTTTAAAATTAGTGCTAACATTTCAAAATCATGAATGATACTACAATATCTTTGCAGTAAGGCTTCTGATACCTTTGGGCTATTCAGCAAATGGCCTTGGTGGGTTGACAATAAATATTTTGCAGGCTCACAATTCAGTCTGTGATGTTTGTTTCATTCAGTCATGTCTAAAAGAAAGGCTGTGGTTTTTAAAATATAAGGATGATTTTCATAGCTCGGATTAGAGGAAAACTCTAGTCAGGGGTCCCTGCTCATGAATAAGTAATCCAAAGACAGTGTACGTATTGAAGATGTGATTAGCCATTTGATCCTGGCAATGCTGATGCTGTCAGACAAACCTTTATAAATGTGGCAGTCCCAAAGGAATGCATGTTGCAATACACACAGAGGGTATCCTCATCTCTGGGACCTTGAACAGACCAATAAAATAGACAAATCTCTGGCCATTCAACCAAGGGGCAAAAGGGAATATTAAATTCAGTCTGTGCTAGCATAATAGAGTAGTCGATTTATTTATTTTTTTTAAAAACCTCACATTATCACGTCATATTATAAAACCAATAAAAATAAATAATTGTTTCCAAGGAATAAAAAGCCAAGACAATTTTTCAAAAGAAGAATGATGATGGCTGTTGCACTATGAGATTTTACAATATATTAAAAAGCTATAGGGACTGGATAAGAATGGTACAGGCTCAGGAATGGGAAGATTAATGATATAAAAAGAATCCACAAATAGTAGATTTGAGTATAAGGGTGGAATATGTATGCGATAAAAATGACATTTTCATCAATAAGGGAAAGGGTGAATTAATAAATCATGCTGAGACAGTGGCTCACTCTGCATTCAAATGTAAAGTATATTCCTACTTCTTACTTTATAGGAAAATAAATTCTAGGAGGATTAAAACTATGGAAGTGTTGGGTACAGTGGCTCAGATCTATAATCCCATATACTTGGGAGGCAGAGATAGGACAATCATAGTTTGAGGCCAGCCCTTGCAAAAAATATAGCCAGACCCTATCTCAAAAAATAAGCTGGGCATGGTGTTCATGTCTGTAATCCTTGCTACACAGGAGATATAGGTAGGAGGAGCTCAGTCAAAGGCTGGCCCTATCTGAAAAATAACTAAAGCAAAAAGGGGAAGAGTCATGGCTCAAGTGGTAGAGCGCTTGCCTAGCAAACACAAGGGCCTGAAATCAATATCCAGTGCTACCAAAAACAAACAAACAGAACCGTATTAAAGTATGAAACCTTATATATACAGGCAAACATTTATGATGAAGATCTTCCTAAGGATGACTTCAAAGTCAGAAATCATACAGTAAAAGAATGCTCAATGTGATTTCACAAAAAAATTTTCTATGGAAAGTTAAAAGAGCCCACATACAAAAATAAAAAAGAGGTAAAGTTTAAGTAACTTGGATACTAATATTAAAATAATTTCATTTTCCACACAGACTGACAAAGCCTGTGAATGAGGGCTACATATCTTTATCTACAGAAACATACTGGGGGAAAAGAAGAGAAGCATATACCCCTAGGCGGGTTGTGTCTGGGTGGTGAGTATACAGCTGATTATTTCTTCTAGATATTTTCTTGCACTTTTAAATGTAGTTTTTGCAACAATCTTATGTCCTTTCTCTGACGCAAAAATAGTATGTCTAACAAAATTGCTTACTGTTTTGTGAGTATTTCTTAGAAATTCTTACACCACACCTATTAGCGATAGAGATAAGTAAGCATCTCCTAAAAAGAAATCTGAGTTTAATATGGCCAGGAACTCAAATATCTCAAGGTTTCCTAATCACTGGGGGATAGCAACTAACATCTTGGCATACACCATTCTGTGGAGTTACTGTATAGTGATGTGCACTGCAATGAGCAAGAATATTAAACAAGCATACAAGTGTCAAAACCATTGCCTTGCCTCCTATTTATTTGTTTTGACAAGAGACCAATGAATCTGTCTAAATAATTCTATCTCATTGCATGACAGTAAGCACCCACAGGCTATTTGACATGTGAGATGTAGATATGGAATATATAGAGATATATCTATAATTCAAGAATTATATGAGACTTACATCTTAATAAATATGAAACTTCACTCTAATCCTTTTCCATTTATCTTTGCATTGAGAACATTTATTTTCTTCAAGAGCATCTGGGATTTTGTAAATTAGTGAAATAAATATCAATTACTGACATATTTCCTAATATTTCCTATTTCAGGGAGCCTACAGTCATTGCTGTGATATGTCTCCACATGGTCTAAATTTTCTGGCGTCTATAAAAATATACTGAGAATAAAAGAGGCAGTAGTGATGGCAGTTGGCATCACTACAAATTATTCAAAAGGAAATATTTTGTTTAAAGTGTCCTGAGAAAAAGCCAGTGTCTGCCCAAATAGAGAGCCCTAGAGCTCAACCTGGGCTCTGCACTTTCAGTCTCTGTGTCCTTGACCTCATGGATTTGCTTCCCCACCTGTGAGAGAGGGAGAGTAATATCTATCTTGTGTTTATCATGGATGGTTTGTATCAGGCACATGCTAAGTAGTTAAGAAATTGTGACCATTATTCAGGATGGACAAGAGGATGATCAAGCTGCTGTGCCACCAGGAGAAAGGTGGCAGCTGTCCTCTGAGAGGCTCACGAAGAAGCAAAACAACCTCAATGAATTTACCTCCACCTAGGGGAGAGGCCGCCAACCCAGAAACTGAATGATTCCAGGGAAGATGACTCACACGATTCAAGATCAGTCAACAGTTGATTTAAAATTGAACATATTCCTTTCTGGTGACTGAAATGATTATATCCCTCAATCACACACCCTCTTCCTTATATGAAAGTAAGGCAACTATTTTAGGGAGGATGGACTCAGAACAAAGAGAGGCAGAATATGAGGGGGAGTTTCACCTGAGCCTCAGAGAGGCCCAGTGACTCTCCTGGCCTTACCACCAACCCTACCTCTCTGGTGCACAGAAACTCAGAACCTCCCAGAGCTAGGAGTCGCTCTCCAGGAGGTACCAGATACACACTGCCACCTTTGAAGCCTCTGAGCTTTCCTCTTTAGTGTTCAAGGCTAACAATTCATCCTTATTTTGTCCACACAAGCCTTCCCCAAAGAGGAAAATATATGGTATTGGTCTTTACTAACTAAATTATAATCACCTCCTACTCTTCCTCCCTAATTATAGCCAGGTGACCTTGATAAAAGCCTTGGGTATCCCCTTGGATAGCCAATCACAGAAAGAATTACCTGCCTCCCTTATTTCCAAGTCCTTGAAGGAACTAATCACCTCCTCACACAAAACTAAGTCATTGTTACTACTATTTCTGCTAATTGGATGGATGGATGGATGGACGGGTGGATGGATAGGTGGGTGCGTGAGTGGATGAGAGGGTGGGTGGGTGGATGTGTGGATGGATGGATAGATGGATAGATGGATAGATTAATGGGTGAAAAGTGGATAGATGGAATATAAACAGAATGTTGTTAACACTGTGCTGAACAACAGCAACAAATGAATCCTTGGTATCTGACTGAGCACCTAGAATGATGAGAAGTGGGACCATAGGAACTTGGCCTTCTGACAAGGCTTATTGCCTGACTTTGTATTTAAGAGGTGCAAGGCAGAGAGCTACACTGAGGTTGAGGTGGAAAGAGGCTCAAAGCAGTCTCTTTTATTCATTCATCTCTCCCATTAAGAAGTTCACCTTTTAACCAAGAATTCACTGAGGTTTTAGTACATGTTGATCTCTGAACCAGAGACCCTGCTCTGACCAGACTGACGTGAATAGATAGTACTTTTAAGTCCCTTCTGTGTAAGAAGAGGATACTAATTTTAGCCTCAATCCTTCCTTGGGAATGTGGTCAGGGAAAGTAACAGCATATGGATATAGCACAAGCTCCTACAAAGAAAGGTCTGAAAATCAGGAAATGAATTTATTTGATCTGAGAGAAATGGACAGTATCCTCAGCATGGTGCTATTTTTCTTCCTTTGAACACATTTCTCTGGTTAAAGTTCATGGTAAACTGGTAAGCATAGTAGGCATATATAGGTCATGGTGCTCTTTGCAATCCTGACCTAGCTTGTTCATGAATCTCATTTTGATGATTCATTTAGCACAGCCTGGTTTTCTAGAGAATAGGAAATGCATCCATATAGAATCACCTGGTTTAAAAGTCCAAATAACTCAGACCTAGCACTGCCTCAAGAATCAGCACCACCTCCCCAACCAGCCCTGTAAGCAAAGCAATTCCATGCACACAAGGTCATAGCAACTTGACATGAGCAGTAGGTTTTTCTTTTAAAAAGCCCAGAATCAGTCAAAGGCAAGCAGCAAGCCCTGGCTGGCCATGGACTGTGGTCACATTATTCTCTCAACATGCAGAAAGCAATGTTCAGCCACCAGTGGAGTCCTTGTGACAGTGACAGAGCTTTCTCTTGGGCTGTAATCAATTACAACGCTTAAGTGCATTATATTTTAAAGAAAAAACAAAAAACAGCTCTCTCTAGCTGTTTGCATTGAGAGCTGTTTGGCTCTCAATGGAGACTCCACCATTGAAATCATTTAAAAGCCATCTTTGACCAACTGCCCACTCTTACAGAACACTTCCCAAATTGTTGAAGTAGACATAAAATAGATGAATAATCAGAAACACCCAGCGTTGTTTTTTGTTTATTTTTAAGCAGGTCAGGCTATTTTCCCTCTCTTTTCTCCACATCAAGAAATATATTAATAGCTTTAATTTTTGAAAAGTCCATATGTGAAGTGTATCCTTTGGAGTCTCTGAGCAAACGCACAGGAGAAACAGCCCTGAACTGGGTGGAGTACTCTCACCCAGCTTCTATATATAACCACCACATTCTGCATGCACACGCCACCCTGCACCCGGTCCGCATGCACACTGTAATCTCCTGCTTGCAGAAACTGTATGCTGTAAAGACGCCCAGAATCTGAGCAATTCACAAGAAAAGCTAAGAGATGGTTTTCTGATTGCATGCAAAGGCTGGTTCAATCGGCCCAGTGCCTTTGCAGCAGGGCAAGCTCAGTCCAGCTCTCTGGAGTGTGATCTGCATGGTTAATCATGGCATAGGGTCGTGGGCTCAGCCACTTACCTTGGAATGCTGGAGCAGCAGTACCTGCTCGTCGAGCTGTTGTCGCTTGCCTTCTATTTCCGTCTGCCTCTTTCTTTTTTCCTTGAAAATAAAGAGAGAAAAAGAGGCTGTCAGAGTGGATGGGTGTTGGCTCCAGGAATTTGAAGTCAGGGAGCAGGAGCAGAAGCGGCACACAGCTGTGCAGACACTTCCAGAGACACTGGGCACACACGCAGCGTCACCTGCCCCACCGTCGCTGGGTGTGTTGCAAGCAGCAGTGTTCTCCTAACATGTCTGCAGTGGGCTTGACGAGTGGGAGAGATTCTCCTCACTCAGCCAGGCTGCGACAATTTAATCCAGAAGAAAAGGCGGTTCACACACACACACACACACACACACACACACACACTCACACAGACTCACAGCCCTGTGCTGTGCAGTGTTAATTTAGAGACAAAGAATAAAAAATGTCTCAATCCAAAAGTCAGAGATTGTCACAAACTGCAAGTAGGAGAGAATAAAACCCTGGGTGAATTCTGGAGTTAGATTTCTTTTATATAAATCATGTATATAAATAATATGATGTAATTTCAAATCTGCCAGGACAGATCAGGCAGGTGGACACAGCAAACAATGCAAAGCAGAAGGATCATATTTGGGGGTGGCATTTCATGTGGGTGGGGCTCACTGAAGTCATGGTCAATTTGAAATCTGCAAAGTGTCTGCCTGTATCCAGCTTCCAGCCCTACCACCTGCTACCTGTGTGTCTTCTGGTCAGTTCTTCCACCTCCCTGGGTCTCAGTCTACTCCTGCATAAATGAGAGGTAAAAACTGTCCCCAATGATATGGTTTGAATGTGCATTAAATGAGAAGGTATGTGTAAAGGAGCTCAAACAATGCCTGGCACACAGTAAGCACTTGATCATTGCTATTTGCTATTCTTCTTGGCACCTGTTTATTTCTAGGCAAAGCCTAGAAACTGGTTTGAAAGGGATGTATTTCCCTTGAATTTCCACCATGACCTTTCCAGTAGAGGGTACTTCAGATTTTTCTTATTCGTACTTCTCCAGTGCAGACAGTAAGCATCACAGGAGTATGCTTCATAAGACTAACCAGGACAGCCCTTGTGATGGCTGACTTGCTAATGTTTGGCTGCTAGACTATACAGGGTATTTTACTGAGACACAGTCAGCCCTGGATTATTTTCCTTTCCTCACAGAGGTAGGGAAAACCTTGCTAGGCAAGACACAGTGGTATGTATGACACAACACCCAAATCCTGGGGACTACAATAGTGCATAAGCCTAGCTGCTGTGCTCTTTGTTAAGGGGAGCTTTGATTTTATATACTGCTACATTTCTGGGCATGTGATTGTACCACTGGCTGTTCAAATCAATGAAATAACCATTCACATTATAACCAAGGTTTCCCATGCAATGCATAGGCTTTTAAGCTATATTAGCTCATAAGTGGGTGTGGTGGTGCACAGATACTCAGGAGGCAGAGATAGGGATGATCATTGTTGTGAGGCCAGTCAGGGCAAAAAGTTAGTGAGGTCCTATCACAACAAACAAGGTGGGCATGGTGGTGCATGCCTGTACATAGGAAGTACAGGCTACATTGGATTGTGGTCTGAGGCTGACCCCAGGCAGAAATGCAAGACCCTATCCCAAAAATAACTCAAGCAAATAAGGGCTGGCAGAGTGGCTCAAGTGGTAGAGTGTGAGGTCCTGAGTTCAAACCTCAGTACCATAAAAAAAAAGATGTTTTAGCTCATAACCTTGAGCTACTAGAATATAGTATCTAAGTCAGGGGCAGCATTACCTTACCAACCTGAACACTGTTAAGTATTTTAGGAACTTATCATTTACCAAAGGACTCTAGTCAATGGTGCACAATTATGCTAATTAATCTCAGGGTATGTCCAAGAGCATACAACATTTGACAGCAGATGAGAAAAGTGAGGTTCAGTGGGGGAAAACCCACCACTCCAGCATCTCCAGAGATAACTCATGGTAAGTCAAGGACCTCCAGGACCAGCTGCCATCTCTATGTCCTGGGAATTCCCAAGAGTAAGCTTCCTGGCCCTTATCATTCTCATCCACTATCAAGATATGCAGTTTTCCTATACTGAAATCCAGAGCAAGATACAGTATGTCACGGATGCAAGACACCGATGTCTCAGTACCCGTGTTCTAACTGCACTACCTGATTTGTCCTTTCCAAATCCTTCCCAGACTTTCCCACCCTTGTGCCTGCATTCATGTGGAAAGTTCTCACTCCAGAGTTGCCCATCATTAAACTGATGTCTCCCTGGGAGACACACAGACCCTGCAGTGGCCTTTACATGCTTTAGCCGTAGATGTGTTAGTGATCACTGTAAAGTGATATGACCAAGGTGGATGGAGATTTCAAGATAGCCCAGTAAGAACTGAAGTAGGTGTAGACCAACAGGCAGCTTATTCCAGGAAAAGGGAACTGTGTGAGCCCAGGTAGCAATGCACTGCACATTCCAGGAGCAACAAGGAGTCACCCCATGTTCTAACTGATTTAAAAGATTGGCTTGGATAAGACAATTGAAAGTCTTAATTGCCAGACTAAAGTGTTTGGGTTTATTGTGTGATAATATTGCTAATATTGCAAGGTTCTCAGCAAGAGACTGATTATGGTGAAATGGAATTCTAGGGGCATGAATCTGGCATTGGTGTGAAGGGAGGATTAATAGGGGTTGGGGTACTTGTAAAGGAAAAGTAAACATTTTAACATTAGTAAATATTTTAAGCTTTATGGGATACACAGTCACTATACATCAGCCTCAGATTATATATAAATGAACGAGTGTGGCTGGGTGCTAATAAAACTTTATTTACAAACATTGGTGTAGGGCCAGATTTGGCCCACAGATTATAGTTTGCTGAACTCTGGTTTGAAAAAGATCATTAAGCGTCCTAGCAGGATGCTGTGTTCACTGGGCACATACTGGAGATGGATGCGTTAAACAAGCTCACTCAGGTCACACCAATCAACATGGAAAAAGGACAAATACAAAGGCCAGAAGTGATGAATCTCAAAGCTGACAGACCTAGGGAGCAAAGAAAATGGTGTCTTGGCTATGAGCCCCAAGACCATAAGAGAGCTGGTGTGGGAATGGGCAATCATCGGAAGGCAGTAAGCCAGAGTCCATTTATGCTGTTATCATTTTTCACCTAAGGATGGTCCTAGTGGATTCAAGTTTGAAAGTACATATACATCAGACAGAGGCATTAGTGTGTCCACATCTGAGTTCTGCCTGAATAAGAGCCTGGGCTTGACATCCAGAGATGTGGCAAGATTCTATGATTACTTGAATCCCCATCCACAGGGATAGGGTTAGGTCCCGAAATCCCTACTAAATGGATAAGAGGTAAGATGCAATCAGTCCTGTTCAGAATTAGGCATGAGTCAAATCATGACAAGCTTGAGTATGACACCATTAAGGAGAATATCTTTGGATTCTGACACCTGCCTGACTGGATGGCTGAGGTCTCTGCTGTGCTTCTCACCTGGCCAGCCTGCTGTCTGCCAGATTTCTCCTTCCCTTAGCCAAGACAAAACCAGTAACTCTTGAGCCATTCACTCTCATTAACTCACAGCTCTACACTTCCACCTCTCCTTGGTGCTCCAGTCCCCATACTGAGTTACCCCCTCAAGCTCAACACGTCATAGCCACCTTGGTCATCCCCCTTCTGCCATCACACCAATTCTTTTTTCTGTATTCTCCATCTCAGTCACCCAGTCAGAGACTGGAATCATCCTACACATGTACTTTCTTTTTTTTCTTTTATACAAAATTATACTTAGCAATAATCATTAATGAAATAGTAATAATATCCAAAAAGGAGTAATGTTCAAAATATACATAAAGATAAGTAATATATAAGATAGGAATATACAATAATTACTTCCTTTACTAAGCTTTGTTTTTTCTTGGAACAGTGCCTGGCATGTACCAATGGCTCAATAAAATTTACTTCTATTCGCCAAAACTGAGGGTGATTGCACTGGTACTATTGTGCCAATTTCACATCATTTTTATGGGAAGATATAGCCCTTCAGTTCAAGAAGGATGTAGTCTCTTTTTTTTTTATGGTTTGTACATTTACTCACATGCGTATATGCAGTGTTTCTTAAAGGACAAAGTCCAAATGATTCAGCTTCCCATTTTTCACATCTTTTGCTTCCCTACTACAACCCTTAATGCCATCTTACTATTTCTTTTTTATCTCTCTACCTGCCCAGGTAGGATCTTCTATGTTAGGATCTTAGCACTCCAAAGAACTTAATAGCTTTTATTTCATCTCCATCTGAATTACAGTGGTTTCATTATTGGTCTCCATGCCTCCAAATCTTGGCTTCTCCAAGTCTTCCTCACACCTCAAGCTGTGACCCCCAAACCAAATGCTCTAACCTCAACAATGACTTACAGTTTCTTGACCATCTAAGCTAGATCACAGCTTTCTGGCTTTAATCTTATTGTTTCCTGTAACAACAATGAGTGTCTCTTACTACTCCATTTGACAAAAAAAAAACCAAAACTATCTTTGATACCATAGCTTAAATATCTATAAAGCTATAGTGACTGCCTATTGATTTTCATCTGCTGAGTCTTCCTTCCTTTTGAGAAAATATCTACTACCTTCACTGTCAATGGCACTGTTGGGAATTCCAGTCATGGTTAGCTACATGTGCTCTAGTTCATCCCCACCACAGGACTTACACATGAACCAGCTGAGGTCAATCATACTACTTTATCTCTTTGCAATAGCAGTTGATCCAAGGGGTGAATAAATGACCCAAGTAGGACCAATAAGAGCTATTTATAGGGACAGATACATGACTACTGGGAGAAAAAAAAAATCCCTTCCTTTCCACTAGGGGTAAGCTGAGATGATGTATGTCTGAGCAGTGATTTTCCGTAACCACATAGAAGAAAGGCATCCACATTTGAGAAAATGAGGTCGACAGAGAGAAGCAAAGTTGGAAGACAGACAAAACAGGATCCTAACACACTGTATGGGTACCAGATCTAGCCATGTATGAAGCCAGAACCATCCCTGGGCTTCC